AAGAAAGAAAGAAAGAAAGAAAGAAAGAAAGAAAGAAAGAAAGAAGAAAAGATTGAGTTGACTGAAAAAAAAAATCCCTACAAGTGAAACAGTGCAGATGCACCAAAGATGAATGAGAGGCTAGTAGAAACTTCCAGGCTGGGCACTGGGATCGGAAGTAATGAGAGGCAGAGGGGGCTCGGGAAACTGGCTGGAAAAGGATTCTTTCCCGCCCTCAGTGGTGGCATAACAGGAGGGCGGGATATCCTGTATATTCAGCTTCACTAGGCTTTTGCCTGCACTCTTCCATCATACGTGGTTTTGCACACTTTAAAAAAATCCCAGAAAAGAAGGCAAGTGAGGAGCAAGAGCTCCCCCAGGGCATCACCTGGATCCCAAGAGCAACCTGACACCCCCAAAACAACCAACAAGCGGCGCATCCATGGCTCACACCTGCAATCCTAGCTACTCAGGAGACTGAGATCTGAGGATCACGGTTCAAAGCCAGCCCAGGAAAGTAAGTCCTTAAGACTCTGAACTCCAACTAACCAGCAAAAAAGCTGCAAGTGGAGGTCTGGCTCAAGTGGTAGAGAGCCAGCCTTGAGTGAAAAAGCTATGTGAGAATGTAAAGCTCTAAGTTCAAGCCTCAGTACTGGCACACACACACACACACACACACACACACACACACACACCCCACAAATAAATTAAATTAAATGGTATATACTCTTTATGTACATACATTTTATATATATATATATATATATAGTGTATATTTCAAACCAGAGTATTAAAAATGGCATTCAAAGAAATGCCCACAAGATGTAATGCAGAATGAGCTCATTCTGCCACCTGCCTTCGCTTCTGCACGGAAGCAGCCCTGAGGAATGGCTGCTCTGAAATCATCCTCTGCTCTGTCTAGCTCTGGCCTACAACAGCCACCATCCCCTCCCAACAAACTCCATCTCCTGTCCCAAGGTAGGAGCAGGCCAGGGCGGGGAGACAGCCTGGATCAGCAGGATTCCTGAGACACGTGCCACCTGTAATTGCAGGATGGGACTGAAGGAGCCTCATTGTGTCCAGCTGGAAGCTGGGAGGGGCAGGAAGAGCAAGCGAAACCACCCTGAAGTTGATTGGGCTCCTTCCCTCCCCTCCCAGGGGAACTCCCAGGGACTCTTCCCAGCCTCCTCTGTGCCCATCTCCAGGCAGACCTGCAAGATGTCTGCCTGACAAACTCTGTGGTCTCACAGTGGTTTATCAACCCATTGCACAGACTGAGGAATCTGACAGCTGTCTTGTGTGTGTGTGTGTGTGTGTGCGCGCACGTGCACGTGTGCGTGCACACATGCGCGCATATGCCCAGTCCTGAGACTTGAACTCAGAGACCTGGGTACTATCCCTTAGCTTTTGTGCTCAAGACTGATGCTGTACCATGTGAACCACAGCTCCACTTTTGGCTTTTTGGTGGCTAACTGGAGATGAGTCTCACCTGGATTTTCAGATCTCAGCTTCCTGAGTAGCTAGGATTACCGACAGGAGCCATCGGTGCTGTCTTGTCTTTTTGTATTTTAAATGGCATTCATTTACA